TGGGCAATATTTTGTGCATATGATAAGCGATCTTGCGTTTTTTCTGTAGAAAATGACTCCGTTTGCCTTGATTAACGGATTTTGACTATGCCACCTGATTCAGAGGAGATTGTTAGTAGGAAACAAAAGATTAAAAAAGTAAAAGAGGAAGAACTAGTTGTTTTGCGGCGTTTGAGTAGTCATGGCTTGTTAGCTGAGTGGTGTAGACATATCATGGCGGCTAGCGTAGATTGTTTTTCGACATGACAATCGCCGTGAACAGCATTGTCTTTTGTCCCTCAAGGGTAAACAAACACACCCAAACATTATGAGAGAGTAAAAAATAAAAAATTTATGGGTATTAGATGAGCAGTAAGCAGTAAGTTATAAGTTTAAGAATGATTGCTAATGTGCATGATCTACAATAAGAAGAAATTTTTGGAGATCAGGATAAAGATCTTAAGATGATAATCCCAGCAACTTACTGCTTACCATCACTGTTTGGCATGAGAGTGGTACGTATTCATATCCTCTTCTCGTTACGCTATCCTGCTTTTTACAACCTCTTAAAATTCAGGTAAAACCAGTGTGTAAAGCCGGCATGCTCTAAGTTAGAGGGATGTAAACGGGGAGTACAAAGTATTGATGTAATAAACTTGTGCTAACAATTGCATGCATTTTTGACTCTTTGAGCTATTTAATGACACAGCCTTTGCGCTTCCAGAGCAGAGTCAGAATCGATAAAGCACCAGCACTTTAAATGACTAAGCTAGCCTAAAAAGTCTGTGTACCTCTGCATATTTTTAAACGTTGGTTTTTTTGCAGGACTTTTCTTGTTTTAAATACAACTTATTGGCTTTAATTCATTTCCCCCTTGTCTGAACTAATTTACTTTATTAGGAATAGGCCTATACAAGCATGTTTGTTTTCTGTTCCTCTTTACATAGCTTTAAGTTCTCCTAAAAAATCAATGTCCAGGCAGCATTACTAAATACATGCATTAAAGTTGACAATTCTACAGTTTGTAATAATGTGGAACACTCAAACGATCGCCTTTTCCAAGGTCAAAAATGCATGTATCTTACTTTAAACAAACAAGCAAGTATAACTACTTGGACATACTAAAAATACTTTGCAGTAATAACATCTGCATTTAAGACAATTGGTAAATTTATAAGTTTGTTTTGCGTTATAAAGAAGTGTTTTTGGACCAAAAGTATTATTCATGTAATTCTTTATTGGCAAAGAAACTCTACAAGCTTGACAGGATAGGCCATTTATTAAATTAATGTTTTTGCCTTAATGACTGGCAGAAAAATCTTATGGCGCAAATAAATGCGTCGCATTCGATTGTTATTCTGCCCTGGGATGGCAGCTTGGCTATCCATAGGTTAACAAAAACATACTTGCAGTATCCACTATTATCGAATGTTTTACTCCTAAAAATGGATTAAAACGTTGTTTTATTGTCACTTATCCTGTCATTACTGTGTCAATCTTTAGCTGTCTAATTTACATTGTATGCGATTGTCTAACTTTAGCGTCCGGATGGGATGCTAATCGCAGTTCAGAGAAGTGCCACCAGGACAGCATAGAGACCGAAGTGAGACAGCATTGCCTCCTTACCCTAAATTACGCATCTTGTTATGAGTAAGTGTTGCGGGGGTGTTAAACTACGTAAGAATGTGTCCTAATGCTCTGCTTCCCAGAAGGAGGTTTTCCTGTAGGTCTTTAAGTTGTTTTAAGCAGTATCAAAAGGAATGGTTTTGTTGACAGCTGTAGTTTGGCCAATAAATAGTTTTACAGATAATACATCAAAAACTTAGGACATTTTTGGCCTGAACAGTGGCATCGGTAAACGCCCTAAAGTATTCGAGGTTTGGCACCTTAAAACGGCAGCATAACAACCATCTTCCACCAACAACTAGTTGCTCAGTGGCCGAAGTTTCAAATAACATCCTGTTTGTGCACTTCGAAATAAGGCAGGAACCGTGTTAATACTTTTTCATGCTTATGCCGTATGTGACCACTTGGAATGTGGCTGGCACTAATTCGCCTGACCTCCCCTTCCAACTAATGCATAAGACTTCTTTACTAATCTGTTCCATCTCTCTTTAAGTGTTTTACTCACACAGTTAGACAATCTGTGAGGTAATGAGCAGAATTTGGCTCCAGTGGTATTGTTTGTTACGACCTTCAATCTAAAGAGACTAAAGTTCCCCTTTTTGTTTTGGTAAAGCTAACACTTGACTATTACAGCAGAGAGGCATCTATTCTAGGTGGTTGGAGCAGCAGTGACTTAGACAGGAGGGACTACATCAACTCTTGACAGTAGAATAGGCTATTATGAAGCAAGATTGTTGATGTGAAAAAGTGTAAAGCTGACAGTCAGGTATACGTATAAATTAAGTTAAGAATGTCCGCGTCGTTGCTCTCTTTCGTCACTGTTTTGCATTCCTCTAAGGAGGCAGGGTGGGAGAGGCCAGCTTCTCACACTCTTCTCCGTCATTCTGCAATCGCACTGTTTCATCGACTCGGAACGAACGCAGACGAAGGGACATGGGTACGCCAAAGGAGGAAGACTGCATGTTTCTCGATGTCTAGCCAACCTATATGGGGTTATACACTCATTTTGCAGCCTATTTAGGGCGAGGAATGCTGAATAGACTGCCCACTTATCAAAGCTTAATTTGCCAGCAGCCCACAAACCGTTGTAGTGACTTTGCTGGGCCACATTTGGGTTACGTCCGTCATCTCAATCTTCGTCGGTGGATAGGGCACCGCCGATGGGATGGGAAGGACATTGACGCACTTGGTCGATTCCGTTTCATTTGAAGTTTCGTGGAAGTGGTTTCAACGGACCTTATACAGCAGACGCCATCCTTCTGATAGTGAGAAAAGTGGTAGTAGACATGGCCTACTTGCCACTGTCTTCTCTGGGGCCACAACACAACGAAATAGTAGAAAAAGAAGTTCCAATCCAAAATTCGGCTCAATTACATGTCAATATAAACAGACAAAGGAGCCCTTTAACTTAAAGGAGTATCGCTGGCTGGAAGCCGCGTTGGGACTGTCTCCTCGAGGTTAATTAAAAGGCGGCATGATTGGTTGGAAACGAGCAGATGGTTTTTAATTGCCTTATTTTTGGCCTGTAGAGAAGTTTGCACTTTTTAAAACAACGTACCACTTTTTTGATTCCCCACCACCTAATTGCAAGTCTTGTCCACTCCTGTTAGATTTGAGTGTCTACCTAGGTAAGGTTAATAGCGGCAATAAAGTCGAGACTAATGTAATGTCTGGCTTTAAACGATTAATTGTGTATTTCTTCCCATACCTCCCCAGCTAGCCCTATGGCAACACTCCCCACCTCATTATTTTTAAAGCATAAAACTGCCCACTGGCACAACATTATATGGAACTGCACCTCTGCCTTTTAGTTGCTCCGTTGGGGGAGGAGGGGATGGAAGTGGATGGGTGGTGGAAAAGTAATGCCTGCGATTGGTTTGATGATAATAAATAAGCCGAGAATTGTAGAGCATTGCTTTCTCTTTCAAGGTCGTCGTGTATTTAAACAAAAATGGGGAAAGAAAAGAATGGAGAAGTGAGGCTTGTATGCGTAGCGAAGACGATTTTAGAAAGTGTTATGAAGGCAAGCGAGAAGGAAAAATTCAGTCTCGTGAAACGGTAACTTGATCTTTTCATGTGTTAGGTTTACCCTTTGAATGTGATCAGGCGATTGGTTGGTGCCGAGGTCAGAAAAATGGGGATTTGTCATTAGAGAAGTGGGGAGGAGAGAAGGAGGCAATGCTCATCCTCCACCTTGAGCCACTTACTGGGCTATGCAAAACTGAGAACGGCGCTATTTTTTGGCTGATTGACCAGTCCTCCTAATCCTGGCGGTTCCTGAATGAGAAAAGGTTAGATCGCACACCTGCGGAATGCTCATCGGCTTGTACCGAAGAGGTTTATCTCTTTCGGCACATAATTATCTGCAGGATTAGAATGGTCTTAAGGACGAGAGATGCTAAGCTCACCGAAAACCCAACCCTCACCAACCTCTCGCAGTCTGCATGCCTTCAATTTCTGCATCAGCAGCACCAAAGGATGGGCTGTGGTGAAGAACATCAACGAACACGAGATCTTTTGGATGGCATTATGGTAGTGGCGAACGAAATCACCTTCTCACTTTTCAGTTGAGACGGGTTTTCCTGCGGAACACCAAGAAGCGTTCATTGTAGAAGGTAGACACAGCATCGATGGGTTGCATCATTCCGTAGTTAGTAGCTTCCCCCTCACCGTACATTCAACCTTCCACCCCCCCCATAAAAGCCTCTTTTAAGGTCAATCAATGTCTGTCAAAGAAATCCACTAAAGGAGAGGTCTTCTAACCCCACCGAAGCCAATTGCAGAAGTTCTTGCATGATACTGCAATCGCCACGTCCCACTCTCCTCCAATCTCACTAAGCCATGGACTATTTGACGGCAGAAGGATGCACAAGGATTTGTCTGACAGGCTGCTGGCATGGCTGCGACACCACTCCAACTAGACTAAGTACATCACATGGGGAGGGAAGCACTCGTCTGCCCAGACATCAGGCCCGCTTACACAGCCCACCCACTTGCAGTCTGGGTGGATGCCCTATTAAATAGTCCGTCAAGGCCATCAGAGGGATCGGAAAGGCCAAAATCCAATTTACCGAATCCATTTAGACGAATCCCCTGCCTAATGGGTGACATGAATGGGATAGAGGAGTAAGCACATGTAGTTTGTTCATCAAGTAAATTGCCAAGAAGGAGTGGGAAGGAGGAGAGGAGAGAATGGGAAAGACAGGGGAAAGAAAAAATTTAATTGCATAGTGCAACACATGTTATTTTCAGCCCCATTCACCACAAAATCTGGTCCATTGACTTCCTCCTTCCGAGGGCACTACAGACCTCTCAAAAAAAGCAACTTAAGAATATTATTTTGGACATGCGATTCCGTCTGTGAAATGCAGGCCAAATGGTACACTGCATTGGCTGCTTGCCAAGAAATGCAAACCGAGCCCCTGCTTCGATGGGTGGGGGGGGGGAGAAACTGCACCCCACCAATGCGAAAGTATTGTACTGTACTTCAGTAGTTTTAGGGAGAAAATTGAGGATAAGAGGTAGGTGATGAGGAAAAGGGTGAGGAAGGCAAGGAGGAGGGGTGATCAATGCATTTTTTTATCCGATTAGAGAATTAAAGAGGTACAAATTATTTTGAAGTTTTACAAGGAACATCTGTACTAATTAAATGACATCGGATATAGGCCATCGGCGAATTTCTTTTGCAGCCGGCAATCACTGGACGATGAAAATTGTGTACTGGTCACTACCTGATTGGTTCCACACATTGGGAACGAATTTTGAATTTGAAGAAACTCGATGTTGATTAGCGCGTTCCTCAAGGTCAACTTTTTATCTGCTTGCTATGTTTATTCGTCTATTAAATGATAAAATTGGAGAAAATTTTAATAATTTCTTTAAACTAATACTTACTTGATTTTTTGGGATAAATACTGCAAATTTTGGAGGTAATCCATCATTCATGATTTTGATTTTGCTTGTGGGAAAAATTAGGCAATTTCCGATATAGTTTGTTTAATGAAAAAATTGCTGCGTGTAGTTGCCAGCATGCACACATTATACAGTGTAGGCAGATTAGCGTCAGTTGTTAGCCTTTCTCTTACCAGCTTTTGCCGCATTTCACATTCATCCTTCCACGTCCAGCCAGCCCCGCCCCGTCTAGCCGTCCACCCACCTCATTTCATCCAATGACTGTTAAACCTGATATATTTGATTGCAGCTTGTCTTCTTTACAACTGGAGATTAACTCATTTGAAAGTCAAAAAGTTACAAAGTCTTCTCGTCAAATTTGTTAAGTGGCATTTGGATAAAGTGTAATATTCTTTAGATGGGTGTACCTCCCTTAAGTGGAGATAGGGCCCTTGAATGGGAATTATAATAAAGAGGATTATTCCCTTATTTTTGAAGATATGGGTGTCACTACTGGGCTGGGTATATGGTTGTTTGGTGCCTCCCTCGAGGTGCTGTGCAGCTTTTAAGGATACATCGGTCAAGTCCTAACCTCTACGGCTCATCCCCTGGTTCTAAGGCTCCCAAACGCCTCATCTTTTAGGTCGGTGCAGACTCCAAATCCATCTGGGTCAACGTTGATGCAGATAGAACGTGTAGAGGATAAATAAATACTTTTGTGACCAGTCGAGTTAGTCTTGCTTTCTTAAGTCAGCCTAAAGCGATGAAATCCGCCTTTGAGGCGAAATTGTTCCTACTTAGAGGAAGGGTCTTAACTATGAGTACTTTGTCCTTTTCGAACAATCGCAAGTAGTAATTAGCTAAGTTACTTAATTTAAAAAGTCCTTTATTGGACCTTACTATTAATTAAAAGCGGATTTTGGGGTGGCGAAATGATTTGAACAATTCAATTTCTCAAAGAAGAATCTGGAATTTTATGGTAGATGAAAAGAGAGTATAATGTACGATCTTATTCTCAAAATATCATTAAAAATTGCCTTTTGAGAAAAGAAGGGGGAATTTAAGGCACATATTGTAATATTAGTTTGTTTTTTGCTCCCTGCATTGATCTTGAGTGTTGGAGGTCATGTAGTGGCGCCTTACCCTTCTCGCAACACAAAGGTCAGCATCCAGATGGAGAGTTTTTCAGACGAGGTTTAAGGAGGGATTCAATAGATGGACCCTTTTTTCCTCATGTCTAGTCTGCACAGCCTGAATTTAAATAATTAATTGTTCTCCCTTACCATGTCACTTCGAGCTCTCCCACTTCCATGCATGTGGTGCGAACCGCAGTACAAAGAACTAACTGCTATGTTGTCGCTGAAAAACTTGTTGAGTAGTATCCTCCTCTGACTAAAAGCTTTGTCTTGGCAAAGCACCATAAATTCTGACATTAATTAGGAAGGTGTCACGATCCCTTAGGGCTAATCGGTATGCTTCCAAATAATAGAAAATTCCACACTTTCTCCCTCTGCCTCTCCACGCCCCTTCACCCTCCTCAACGAAAATTGGGAAATCTTTTGCGACAGGCTCGAGAGCCAACTAGAGGCCATGTAGCCAGGTGGTAGGAAGGTATCCACAGGCTACTGCCTTATAGAGGTAGGCGTGGAGAGAGCCCATAGCATGCGGTTTCGTCAATGAGTTAATAATTCATTGCAGTATGATTACTTTCGCCTAAGAAAGAGAGAGGGGTGAACAAATGGCTGGAAATACCTCGTGATTAATTTATAACTGGGTTGCATTGCCCAGCGTCAGGGAAGCACAGTGAGTCCACATCGAGTGAGGAATTTTTGAGATGACTGAAGGGAGACCTTCAAGCACTTTGACGTATCGGAAGGGCGAGTGAAACGCCTCTCTCCTGAAGAATAAAAGAAGTGGAAACAGGTAAAGAAGAAGCAGAATTCATCGATTTTGAAAGGGGAGTAATTATTACCTTGGAGAAGAATCACCGCTGGGAACAGAATAATCTTTTTCCTCCCAGCCCCATCTCAACCGGTGATTTGAGGTTTTTCATACCGCTGAGTTTTGCCGTACACAGAATCAACGAGTCCTTTCTCAATGAGACAAAAAATCTTCGCCGTGGTAGCCTCATCTTCCGAGGAGGAGGCAATAGCCGCCTCTTCCATCCTAAAATTCAAATTTTCTCCAGAACATGCTACGCGGTAGAAAAGTTTGTGCTACCTCGTAGGTACAAAACCTTCTTGTGACCGCGTGGACTTTCCCTCTCCAATGATTTTTCTCATCCATCTCTCAAGTTGTGCAAAATTCTGAAGAGGTGTTTGCCTTAAATGGGTGATGACAGGGTCGTTTGGTGGTCATTAACATCATGGAAAAAGTAAAGAACGTGGAATACGATGCATGGATGATAACCTCATCAGATTAGCGGCCGCCACCACCACCGACTTTCTCTTTCCCGTGGTGATGGAAGCTAAACTCACCAGATGTGAAGATATTCCTCAAAACTACTTTGAAAGTACGTTCCGCTGCGCCACTTCACACATCCTCCGTACTTTTGCAAGTCGTGTAGTAAATGCTGGCCTCTCAGAGAATTCATGGCTCCACTGCCCTGTTAACGCTTCGCGCCTTAATTGCCCTCTTGTAGAATGCTGTAATGGGATTTGGCTTCGTTACCACTTTCCATATTTTATACACACATTTTGAAAGTCCTCTCAACTTATCCATTTGAGATATGCCCCACTAACAACGCCAATTTTTTGTCACTTTGCAGTAATAAAGAAGTGGCATCTACTACTCACAAATTATCAGCCCATCCACTCCTCCACCTATTTGCCCTGTATCCATCCATCCCATGTGTCCATCTATGCCGGATCCATCCATCTGTCCATCCGACTATCACTACTACTGATCTTTATCACTTTTTTAAACCCTTGGATAAAAGTTTAATTGCTTAAGCAAGTGTGCACGACCTTAAATGTCATTTGCAGTGCACCAAATAATTCTAAAAAGTTTGTGCGGTTATGCAGTACACAGGGAGGAGAAAAGGCTTGGTGTCAGATAGAGAAAACTTCAAAAGTGTGTGTGTGTGTTTATGCCATTGTTTAGGTGCCTAAATAAAGGCATAAGTGAGCTGCGCGTATTTTCTATCTCTCTCCCTACACTGTAGTCTTGGATAATTTTTCTCTCTGACTCTGTATCCTTAGCGAGAGACGGATACGGTTGGTGTTGGACGGATGCATGAAATACAGCGGTACTCAATCAGGTAAAAAAAGGGAAAAAGTTAATGGTCGACTTTGTTCTGTGGCATTCAAGGAGAGAGCAGAAGTGTGGCGATACGACCAGACGCAGAGCGTTAAGTGGAGAGGACTCGAGGCTGCATATGGTCTACTCAGGGATGGAAGGATTGATAGATGATGAAAGTTAAAATGGATGCAGGATGGATGGATGGATAAAAAGATGGAGAGAGGGATGAATGGATTGATGTGTAGGAGGATGAACGAATGCATACAGGTTGGATGAATAAGAATGATTGGATGGATGCAGGATAAATGGATTGCTGGATAGAGGGACGAATGAATGTGGAATGGATGGATACAGGATGGATGAATGGATGAATAGCTTTTTTCTTCCTCTAGAAGACAAAAAGAAGCGGTGGAAGCAAGGAGAGCACAGGTGAAGGGAAGTCCTACAAAAGTAATCGTCGTAGCATTTTTTTGTAAAACCTCTGAGGTGCACTATAAAATTTATGGAACGTATGAGGGGAAGAGGATGATTCCGTACTGTCTAGGCATTTATTTCCTCTTTATCTTACCTACCTTTAGTGAAATATTTAATAAATCCGAGTACCACAGCTGCCTCACCGATTGTAGCAGCGTTTGTTTTAACGTAAGCTGCAATTTGCAGTACTTTCTTCATTTATTTGACCTTTTTTGTGACCAAATACCACCCACGTTCTCTTCCCTTTTTCTACTTTTTCCTCTATTGTTCCAACAAGTCCACTTCAGTTTGTGTTCCGTTTGAATGTGAGAAAGGGGGGGGGGTTCAAAATTCACGCAATTTTCTTGATTTTATTCTCTCCCCGGAAACTGCACAATTTAAAGATCGTAAGTGGAATTTTCTTTACCAAGTTTACCTCGCATGCCTTACAAAACGAGGTGTCAAAATTGTTCGACAGTCAGTGATGGCTAACTACCACTTTAAAGTGGCCTTTCACCCTTAGATCAGTCACCGTTTTCCACCTGTCTGAATGTTATGACAAAAAGCGGCGGGACATTGTCCCACTCAAAAAGGCGTGTTGCAAGATAGACTTTGACCGAACATTTTAAGCCCTTTTTGGGAAGAATTTCTACGTAAATCTGTAAATGACGGAGTGAGGATAAAGGGAGCCGGGAAGGAATGAGGGAGGGAGAGAATGAGTTAAGTAAATTGGCTTTGTTTTAATTAGCTGCCAAATTCGGAGTATTTGTCTGCGGGTTAATTGGATTGTGGAAGCCAAAAACAAAAGAGAGATTTTCCATTAGCCATTACTACTTCTGCTTTTCACTTGACCGTCTCTTTGTCCACAGGTTGGCCTCACACCCAAGACGGGTTAAGTTCGTAACGCCTCAACTTACGGATTCTAACCTGAAAAGGCGGTAGATTTCTCCAAAAGCCTTTCACAGCTACCTAAGCAGAAAGGTGAAGTTTAAAGGGTTACAAAGGGCAGGCAGTAGTGGAGGAGGAGGAGAAGAAGGAGGAGGAGGTTATCGTCAGGAAAGATGACTGAGGAGAGGAAGAAAGGGAAAAAGAAAGCATTTTACACTGCAATAAAACAAAATTGGTTGCCCATTTTAAAAAACTAGGGATAAATTGAATAAAAAAGGGAAAATAGTTGTATAAGTTAAAAGGAGACCACCTTAAAGTACTGACTGGCATTTTGACTGACGTTTTTTTGTCAAAGACCATTAAAATGGCTTCCACCCCATTGAAGCGGAACACAGAAGGGAAAGGGGGTCAAGTTTTCTTTTCCAGTATAAAGTTGTCAAATAAAATTAATAATTATTTACGACTAAAGTGTTCAAAGGTGAAAAAAATGAAGCTGAAGTTGGTTTCGACAATGCAGCTTAGTAATGTATTAGCTAATAGTATCGTTGTCGTTTTTCCAACGAAGTAAAACATGCTGAATTTTTCACTGTCCATTCATCCATTCGTGGATCTTTCCATCTATCCTCCTGCATTTAATCCATCCATCCCTCCACCCATCCAATCATTCATCCATTCAACTCTCCATTTATTCAGTACCCATCTACGCATCAATCATCTACCCGTCCATCCACTTACCAATCCTCCATCCTCCAATCATTCGCCTATCTGTCCATTCACTTATCCATTCATCAATTCATTCGCCCATTTATTCATGTTTCTATCAAACCGCAAATCTATCCTTCCCTCCATGCGTCCATCAAAATACTCAATCTTTTATCCATTCATTTATCTATCCCTCCATTTATCCCATACATATTCCTCCATCCATCCACCCATTCATCAATCCATCCTGTATCCAACCAATCATTTATCGACCCATCCATCCACCCAACCCTCCATCAATCATGTATTCTTACATCCACTCATACACTTATCTATTAATTCGTCAATGTATTTATGCATACATTAAACTGTAAATCCATGCATCCATCCAGCTTTCATCCACTTTATCCATCCCGTATCCATCCATCTATTCATCAATCAATCTAAAGAACCATTCATTCATCCATCTATTTGTCCACTAGTCCGTCAATCCATTTGTCCATCTATCGAACCATCCAATCTCCAGCCGTCCTGTATCCACCTATCCATCTATCTATCCACTCAATCCTCTATCCACCACGTATTCATCCATCCATTCATCTAAACATCTATCCAGTCGTCCACCAACCCATCCATTTAACCGCCCAATTCTCCGTCTATCCATTATCTATTCATCAATTCATCCATCTATTCATCCATTCTGTGTCCATTTGCCAGCCAAAGCCGACCTGTTGATTTTATCTCCTCCTCCTCCTTCCAAATATCACATGGTTATTCTACTAGATTTTTTCTGCAGGGTGATAAAACTGATTTGAATTAAAGACGATTTGTAAAGTAGTCTGCTCTGAATAGCCTTGCTTCGGTTCAAAAGGCAATCCATCCATTGGATTGGGAGAAAACTGGGAGAATAGCTGCTTATAAGACGGTAAGGAGGTCCATCTTGAGAGGTTTGCATATGCCCTCTCTTATGATGTCATCCATGTAATTTATTCTGCGAATTTTACCAAGGTCCTCCCAACCATCGGACGTCACTCACGCTATTTGTTCTCTTCCGTAATTGCACCGCATAGTAAGCCAGAAATGCTCGCTAACACCTTTAAAATCTGGGTCTTCCAAATTTCTGGGGTTTTAGGATCATTTTAAATTCACAGTCACTCATCCCCGGCCATAAACACCCAGCACACTAAAAGGCAGGTCATAAACCCTTTTTTGTGGTGGAAGGACTCAGGAGGGCTGTCGCCTTACAAACGGAAACCTCTCTAGATGCAAAGAGGGAGGCCAATCAGCTAGCAGACTTGCCGGATCTGAATCAAATCAAGTCCGTGCCACACCCTCTGGAAACCAAGCAAAGCTGTGTGTGTGCGTTAGACTGGAAACACGATAGTTTGTAATGGCTTTTTTATTGGCTGTTTGATACTACTTATATAGCCTCCTCAGTAGGCGGAAACCCAGAGTAGGTGAGAGCAGTGAATCAGTGGTCAACCCATGGCCTCATCACCCATATTCCCTGCAAAAAAATTGACTTCTCTGGAAAGCAAATTCTTTAGAAAGAAGGGATAGTTACGTCTGCACTCGAGTCACCATCTTCCCTTTTCAGGTGCTGATAATTCTTCAAGAAGTGATTATGACCCTCTTCGTTGGGAACTCAGGAGACAAAAATTGGTAGGGAATAGAGCTATACGTTAGTATCTTTAAAGTGGAAAAAGAAAAGCGCACGTATGTTATTGGGAGAGGTGAGAAATGGTGGCATATCCTCCTCCCCCTCCTCCAAGAAAACAGAACAGTACTGTGAACACAAACAGTACCGTGACTTTAAATTGGCGGAGATCCTGCTTCTCCTCCACCTTTGCCCATTCACCTGGACTTGTCTTAACAAACCAAAGGTGAAGTCATAAATGCTGCCTCCATTTGCTTCATCGAATGGGAGGGGTGTACCTGCAGCCAATGCGATGTACCACGAGATTTGATGTTGTCCAAATTGCACAGACGCAGTTGTGTGTCCGGATTAGTAGGTCCTAAGTTGTTTTTAGAGAATAGGCTGTTAAGAGACCAGACATTTTGGTGAGTTTGGGCAAAGCGACATGTGTTACACCATAAAATTTTGTGCTTTTTGCCCTCTTTCCTCCCATTCTACCCACTTTTCCTCTACTCAATTATAATTTGCTTGATGCGTGATTTGAAACTTACCAACCCTCCTGTATGACACCCGTTTGACAGGAGATTTAAATAACTGGATTTGGCAAAGTGGAGGTGTGCCTTTCCGATGGCCCTTTAGGCATTCCTGGATTTGACTACCCTGAAAGATTGTTTGACAGGATATCCATCCTGGCCTCACATGTGAGTGAGCTGAATAGGTCGGCCTGATGATCAGCAAGGCGAGTGCTTCACTCTCCTCGGGTTGTACCTCGTCTGAGTGGAGTTGTGTCTCGACTATGCCGACGGTCTTCCAGACAGATCTTTGTGAATTCTTGTCCTATCCAATTTTCTGTGGTTTGGTAGGGAATGTGGCGAGTGGAACTTGACGACTACAGTATTAAGCAAGAGCAGCCCCAAACCACTACTTCCCAGAGGTAATTTTCTCTGATCAGCTAATCTACCTCTAGGACGTCCGTTTTGGGTGATTGAATGTAGGCGAAGGCTGGTTGCAAGAGGACCCAATCCATCGATGCATCTTGGTGCTCCGCAAAAAGGACCTTCACAACTGAAGTGTCATGAGATAAGACAATTTGGAAGCATTCACAGCTGAGGTGTACAAGGTACTTGTATTGGAGGAAGTGATATCGTTTGCTATTACCACAAGGCCTTCAAGATCGCATATTTGTGGATGTTCCTCATCACATCCCATTCACTGACACCTCCTCATTCTTAATAGTCCCCTCCTAAAGGGCAGAACATCCAAATTTACAGAGATGTAAATCATGGTGGGTAGATGTTGCCATATAACCACGCGGGATCTTCAAATTCCATGAATCATTTCCTCACCTTTCCGATTTCTTTGTCATTCTAATCTCCATACAAGGATCCTTAAAGTGTTTTAAACTGTATAATGTCAGCATTTCTGTTTTAATGCTCCTTATAATCACGCGGTGGATCTTTAAATTTCACGGTACCGCTTTGCACTCGTTTCAACCTTTCCAACCATTTAGAATTTCCACTCTTCCTTGAATTTTGATCCCATTCTATGCAGTATGCTGCGGACTTTCCAAGATTGTGTACTTTCAATCATTTTTTGTTTTAATTGCTTTTTATACCCACGCGGATTTTTCAAATTCCGTGATTTTGTTGCACAACTGCAAATGCTCCCTCGTGCCTGGATTATTCTTAGGGTGAAAGTATTTAAAAATTTATTTTATTTAGTGGGTCGCTATACTCAAAAAGTTCTATAGATGAATTTGTGGATTCATCATAGATAGTCTGGTATGTAAAAATGAATAAAAGTGTTTCCGTGCCACCCGCATATTCCACCCGTTGTTTTTATGGCCTCTATTTGGGTGCAGTCAAGTGTTTTCCCCCATAAATAGGTAACACAGCTATAAATTTGGTAATTTCCTGTGCGGTGTCTTTTGCTCTCCCTTTTTCGTTCCCCTCCTTGAAGCTGCGGCGGTTGCTTCAGGTTTATGACCTTCCAGGTGGAGGTATCATGACGGGGGTGGAATGTCCGAATTCAGAGGAGTCAAATGCTTGGCAGGTGTCACGGAGTAGGGCACACTAGGCGTTGCCGAGGTCACAGCAACTACTTGGAAGTCGATGACCGCCACTGAGAAGGCGTTATGACATCCTGGAAGGAAGTGATCCCACCTCTGAACGCGACCCTGAAAAATGATCGCACAGAGAGGAATGTGCCGAAGCATCTATTTTTCACCAACTTTGATAATGAAGGCTGCTGCGAAAAGTGGACCAATAAAAAGCGTTGAGCATGACAGCTATCTGTCGCCGCTATCTCTTTCTTCCCTTAGTATTAACTACTGCCCGTTAGTAAGGAACAATCATTCACCCACTGGTGCTTACCGTCCCAAATTCCGGGATGACTCAAGAGGTTGGAGGACAATAAATTGTGCGTTCTTTATCAGAGGGAAACCCCCCGTTTTATTGGTTGTTTATCGGAATTGGTATGTGGATAAACAGAGCATCCTCCCGCGGTGATTGTACTGGGGAATTTGGGTCGGAAAAACAATCTGAAGGTAAGGACAATTTGACTGAAAAAACCAAAGGTAAGGCAAACCCAGGTAAAATATTCGTGCTCGTCTTGCGGTCAACTGTAAATCTTGGGATGAATTCCTCTGTCGGTTGTAAAGCCAACGGTTTTTATGCAATGCAAATCTGGTGCCAATTTAGGGTTTTTGGCTGTACCGATCAAGCTTGACTCAATAGGTGAATGAGTTGGTGTAACATCATTGCGTTGACCTGCTTTCAAATGGACCGCACAGCTTCTCTGCCTAAACGGTCATGAGGCCTCCGGTGAGAGGCTCTCTATCAAGAGTTTGGGCCACCTATGGCACACACCTGGTAGAGTTGGCAGAGTCGCCTAATTTATGTCCCTTTGAAGGAACAGGATCAGAGAGGAATCCATTCTGAAGCTACCTTGTATCCTGAAACAAGTGCCCCTAAGCATCACGGAAGGTCATCGTGCATACACTTCTATTACTCGTGGGAAATGTGAAGAGCACAAAGGTGAAAGCTTTGTAAAGTCCCAGTTTTAAGTTTATCTTTCACCCCTTGAGGAGTAAGTTAAGGAGGACTTTGTGGAAGAAGTCTACAAGAGGGGAACATTTTGGTGGTCCATACGGAGGCGACCCGAAAATTCGCCTATTTACATGGCCTAGTAAAACAAAAAAGGCTAATAAAGAAGAAACGAAAGACTTTGTGATAGGTTTTTGCCATGATAACTTTCACTCTGCTTAGTCAACAGAATAGGGCCTCCTCTCCAGGTGACAGGTGGGGAAAGTGGTAGGAAGAGCAGAAATATTAGGCAAAACACCGACACTAATTTCGAGGAATTTTTCCCTTGGTTATACAAATACTAAGGATTTAAAAGCAGAAGTGACAGAAGGAATTTATGACTCCCTTCCGCCCTCGTAAAAGTACACTTTTTGGTTGTTTCAGTGCATCCGGACGAATCCGAGCGCGTACTTTTAGTCCGGCCCAGTTAATTGTTTTCCTGGGAATTTTTTTCCCAAAAAATAAAAAATTTCTACCTCCCTTAATTTTTTTCTACAGTTTTGAGGATAATTAATGAAAAAATTCTAAAAATCTCTTTTTAAATCTGTTGTGTTTTATTCCATTGGAAGCAATTGAATAGGAGAAGAAAGAAAAAATTGCAATTTCGGCGGAAAATTATTCACGAAAAATGGTGGGAGCTTTTCAACGAATCCGGGTCACAAGTCTGAAAAGTGCGTTCCTGCGTCTCTGGACGTCGCCGATGGTTCCGACTCACCTTTCCTTCTTGACTACTGCCTCCTCTTCTGTTCTGCGACTGTCCTATGCCCTCCTTCCCAATCCTCGAGTATAGCTGAGGGTTCGGAATCGCCTTCATAGAGGTGGAAGGTCTACTGATTGATCTACCCCACCTGGCTAACACCACGGAATTCGGCAAATGGATACGTGACACCTTGAACAATTGTGTCTGTGGTCCAACATACTTCCCCCCACCTATACACACCCGCACAAAGTGAGGATGGGAATGCACAATGGGGCATTTGTTCCCTTAACTTTGCCGTACAAAACCATCCTCACTCCCTCTGTCTCGCATCACCAGTCATTCCGATGGCGGCAAAGCTAATAATGCCGTGTTTATTTATAACCGAACAAAAATGAAGCGGAGGACAAGTTGGCAGTCTTTGAAGTCACTTGCTATTTGTTAAGCCTGCTTTTAAATATTTTGTTCCTATTGAAGGCGCCTTAGAGGCGCCTCGACGCTTTATCACCTCCAGAGGACACAGATGATGATAGGGAAGGGGACTCGTTAGCCCTTTTAAAATGCCAGGATTGCATAACACCTTCGGTGGATTACCTTACGTGAGGTTGTCACATGCCACATGACTTAATATCATGTGCCTTCATGAAGGCATCGCTAGTGCCGTCTGCCTGTGATTTGGGACGCCTGGATTGAGAGACTTGATGGGGAAGCGAAGATTGTCTCTGTCTTGCCTAATTGGCAGCGTCTCCCAAACCGCGTAGCTGATTTAATCTGCCCAGTGCATTGCATCAATCATGCTTTTAGTCGACTCTGATTTAAGATTGAGCAGTCTGTTGTTTACTTTTTCCTCTTTGAAGAATAGATTTTCAAATCTCTACCATTTTAGAGAAGGTGTCATTGGGAGTGTTGTTTACAGAGGATTCACCGCAACTTTTTGACGTAAGTCTATGAATACATAATGAATGGGGTGGTGGATAGTGGAAGGGTGCAGGATAGATGAGACAGTTGATTAGCCCTCTGTGACACACCACACCCCTTTCACTCTCCGCCCTCTTCTTGAATGTTGTCCTGGACGATCTAATCGAATGCTCTACTACATCGGCTATCACAACGTGGCTGGAGCTTTAAGAACCACCCAAAATCAGTGTCAGCAGTTTCCAGTTTTACCATTATCGTATGGAAGAGATGTATTTCATTAACTAATAGTGAATCTAGAGTACGCTCTGAAGAAGTCTTACAGGTTTTATACTGCCCTATAAAGGAGGAAAGTGAAAGCAGGAGGAGGAGGATG